ATTCCATTATTTTTTTTATTTTTATTTTTTTAAATATATTTTATTGATTTTTTACAGAGAAGAAGGGAGAGGGATAGAGAGTTAGAAACATCGATGAGAGAGAAACATCAATTAGCTGCCTCCTGCACGCCCCCCACTGGGGATGTGCCCGCAACCAAGGTACATGCCCTTGACCGGAATCGAACCTGGGACCCTTGAGTCCGCAGGCTGACGCTCTATCCACTGAGCCAAACCGGTTCGGCAATTCCATTATTTTTTAAAAAAAATTACACACATTCTATTCTTGTCTCCTCTTTTGTTAATCTTGTTGCATCTTCTCCAGCTCCCCTATGGTTGTCCAGATATTTAGATTGAATCTGATAAAACTAATATTTTTGTAGGTAAAAAATAGTAGATTATCAGCAACTTCATGTGGTTCACTGTAATAGTTTTAAAGCTTATTTGGTTCATGTTTCTTGTTTTCCTCAAGGGCAGGGGCCAGAACACCATTCCTTTCAAGACCTGGAATTGATTGACCCAAAGTCACTTAATAAAAGTTCTGTTGACTGATGATTTGAGCTGTTCTCAGGGCAACAAGCAATTGTGTTTCACCAAGTCTTATTGGGTTGATCTTTTTTTTTCCTAGAGAAAAAGCCTCTTAAAAAAAAATATTGTTGAAAGTATTCATAGGTCCTCCTTCCCCCTCAACCCCCTTAACCTCTACCAGCCTGCTCTCATCCTCCCTGCGCCGCCCCCCCCCCCCCCTTACTCTCCAGGCCCTCACCACCCCATTGTCTGTGTCCATGGGTTATACATATATGCATACAAGTTCATTGGTTGATTCTCCCCTTCCCCCGGCCCCCCCTTCCTTACCTTCCCTCTGAGGTTCAACATTACCGGGTTGATCTCTAAGATCAACTGTCTCTGTTCTCTGAAATGCAGTTGGGCTTCTTCATCCTCCATGAGTGACTTGCATCATTGTCACACTTTAGAGAAGTGGAGAGAACCACTTTCTCCTTAGGAGACCTTGCTGACCCCTTGGTTACTGTTGATCCTCCTAGAAAGTTTTGTGTAGTCTGCAGAGTGTGTGCTGCCTGTCCACTGTGAAGTTTTTTTGAGCCAGGAAGAAGCTTGAGGCTAGCTAAGAGCCCAGAGGTACTTCAGACTCTGTGCAGTAGAGTGGCTAGCCTAGGAAATTGGAATTGATTTTATGGATCCAGCCTTGGCTGAGTAGCTCAATTGGTTAGAGCAGGGGTTCTTAACCTGTGGATCGTGACCCCTTTGGGGATTGAACGACCTTTTCACAGGGGTCGCCTAAGACCATAGGAAAACACATATATAATTACATATTGTTTTTGTGATTAATCACTATGGTTTAATTATGTTCAATTTGTAACAATGAAATTGGGGGTCACCACAACATGAGGAACTGTATTAAAGGGTCTCGGCATTAGGAAGGTTGAGAACCACTGGGTTAGAGCATTGTCCCAATATGCCAAGGTTGTGGGTTTGATCCCCAGTAAGGGCACATAGAACAGCGGTTGCCAGCTGGTGATCCATGGACTCCTGGTGGTCCATGAGGGCTGAAAGGTTGGTGACCGCTGACATAGAAGACACTGACCAGTGCAAGTTCAAAAGAATTTGGGGTTTGTCCTGAGGTTGCCAACTTTTTATTTTGCCAAATAAGGATATTTTAAATAAGTGTATAATTATATACTTTTATAGTTAATACATGCTCATGGTACATTCAAAACATAGAAAAGGTTATACATTGAATAAAATGAGTCTCATACTTCCTCTTCAGTTTCTTAACTATCCAGTTCCCCTCCCAAGAGGCAAACCGGGTTGCTTGATCATCCTTCCAGAGATAGCCCACACAGTTAAAACAGGTAAAAATGTATTGGTAGCTCACCATTCCCCCAAAGAAATAGTAGTGCATTCATAACCGTTTTGAATCGATTCCCCCCTCCACTTTTCTTAGAAACCTTTTAAAATCAGTACATAGAGAGCTGCCTCATTTTTTAAAATGGCTGCATAATATTAGTTAGTACCCTCATTTAATTAAAACCAGTTACCATTGTTTTAATTAAAGATATATTTAACTACCAGGAAGTTAGGAAGATGTGATTTTTGTATAAAGAAAAGTTCTGTAAATTATATAAATTTAATTCTGTGAAAAATAAATTTTATGCATTGGCCCAAAGACCTGTGATAGTAAACCATTAAAGGGCTTTGAATAGGAGTGTTAAGGCAGGTTGTGTTGTTTTAGGGAAGCTCACTAGTCTTTGGTAGGCTAAATGAATAATAGAGCAGGAGAAATATAATTGAGATATCCATGTCCTTCTCCCTATTTTACAGAGAGGAAACCTCTTTCGTCTCCCACAATTGTACTGCTCAGTTCATCAGATCTTACAGTTAGCTGTTCTGCTGTCAAGACATCTTTATTTATATCAACTTTATGTCAGTTGGATTGGAGTAGGGAGACTAGTTTCAGAGCTGTTTAATCCCTTCTGTTAATATTTTTTGAGCAATTAATATATGGTTGTACTATTAGGAATTTTGAAAAGCATATCCTTTTAGTCCTGTGTGAGAAATACTCACATGAAGTGATGGGGGCCTAAATTTGGATAGTGACTGAAATTGAAATGGTAGCTGGAGTTTGAGAGCCTTTGGATTGGAGAATTGACAGGATGTGTGACCTTGGGGAAGAATAGGAAGAGTTGCATGCATATGCTGAACATTTATAGAATGCCCAGTACTTGCAGCCTACTGTGATAGATTAACATCCTCAAACTGCTTTAAAGGATACTAGTGTAATATTGAAGAGGACATAGCATACAGACATAAGCAGCAGGCCTATTCATTTAGGTAGCACTTATTTATTAGTACAGTGATGCTAGATACAGGAAAGGAAATGATGCAAATCCAAGTTGCAGGGAGAAAATACTGGTAGAATCTAAATTTTCTCAACCTAGAATAGCAATCTGATTAAGAGAACAATTGCATGCAATATTTTTTATTTTTATTTTTAACCAGTTATTTATTTTTGGAATGAGCAATACATTTATGTGGTTGGAAAATGAAAAAGTATTAAAAGATATACTACAAAAAGTCTCCCTCTCACTTTTGCCCTTTCCATACGCAGTTCCTCCCTTGTATCCATCAGGTTTAAATGCTGGAAACAGAAACCACTCTGGGTACTTTAACCACAAAAGGGTTTAACACAGGAAATTGGGTACTTTTAAATTGTTGGGTTGGAAGAGTAAGGCCCAAGGGGGCTCCCTTAAATTATCAGTCTGAGGGACCCACCACTGAAACTGTGATCTGGAGGTCAGGAAGTTACTACTGTTACTGCCACCCTTCCACCACTGCTGCTTGACCGACTCAGGAAGCTAGTGACTAGACATTAGCCCCTTGCTACTACAGACTAGCACATCAGTATCATCTGGGAGCTTGTTTAAATATCTTAGGCCCAGCTTCACCTACTGAATCAGAATCTGCATTTTATAATTTTTTATAAATATATTTTTATTGATTTCGAAGAGGATGGGAGAGGGCGAGAGAGAGAATCATCGATTGGCTGCCTCCTGCACCCCTACACCGGGATCAAGCCCACAACCTGGGCATGTGCCCTGACCGACTGGGAATTGAACCGTGACTTCCTGGTTCATAGGTCCACACACAACCACTGAACCATGCTGGCTGGGCCTGATGATATGTATTACAAGGAAGTATGAGAGGCCTTGCACTGGAGCTTTAGATCTGGCCACTATAGGTTGCCTCTAAATCCATGGTCTCCATGACCTTAATTGCCAATTTTTTAATGTTTTATTGATTTTAGAGAGAGAGGAAGGGAGATGGGGGAGAGAGAGAAACATCAATTGGCTGTCCCCTGTATGCCAATGGAACCTGCAACCCAGTCATGTGCCCTGACCGGGACTTGAACTGGTGACCTCTTGATGCATTTGGTGTGTGGGATGACACTCAACCAATTGAGCCACATCGGCCAGGCTTGATTGCCAGTTGTAAGGGAGTCAGGGAAATGTAGTTATTGGTTTTCCCAAATCTCAGTCTAGAAGAGGAGTAGAAAAGAGATTGGATGAGTTCATCTACTGAACTGACCATATTTATACAAGTAACTATTATTAGTTTCTTGTGTATCTTCCTAACTATTTTATGTATATTTAAGCGTATATGAATATATTTATTTTTCATTTAAAAAATAGCAATAACTTATCATACACAGTATTCTGTACCTTGCTCTTTTCATGTAATATCTTGTGAGAGCTTTCTGTGTCATGACAGAACCATCTTATTCTTTTTAACAACTGCATGGTATTCCACTTTATGAATTGCAAAATTCTTAAAATTGAGGCTGTCTCACCCTATCTGATTTGGCTTAGTGGATAGAGTGTCAGCCTGTGGACTGAAGAGTCCTGGATTCTGGTCAAGGGCACATGCCCGGGCTGTGGGCTTGATCCCCAGTAGGGGGCGTGCAGGAGGCAGCGGATCAATGACTCTCATTATTGATGTTTCTATCTCTCTCTCTCTCTACCTCCCTTCCTGAAATCAATACAAATATATTTAAAAAAAAATTGAGACTGACTAATACAGTCTGGGTTGCATGATCATTTTAATTTATTGTTATATGTGAAATGTAATCTAGTTATTAAATGTTTACTTCCTATTTCTTTTGTGCCCAGGTCTTGTGTATCTGGCATCTTGTTTAATTTGCATTACAATCCAGTGTGCTGTGTATCCTTCCTCCACTTCACATGAGGGGACTTTGTAAGGTTAATTTAATACTAGTTCATATGTTAGGCATATCAAGGTTGGGATTTGAACTCCATGCCTTTTAGCCTTCATAATTTGTGATTGGACACCATTATGTAGAGCCTCTAAATGATGGTTTTATTCAGTGCTTTGATAACCTATCCCTTTGGAAAGAGATTTGGAAGGGTACTGTTTTAGATATTTTGGGTGGGTATTTATAGGCATTTCAATTTTCTTTTCTGACTTAGGTATCCAGCTCACATAGAAGATATTGACTACGAAGAAGGAAAAGTACTTATCCATTTCAAGCGTTGGAACCATCGTTATGATGAGTGGTTCTGCTGGGACAGTCCTTATTTACGCCCTTTAGAGAAAATACAGCTGAGAAAAGAAGGCTTACATGAAGAGGAAGGATCTTCTGTGAGTAACAGATCTGGGAAGTTCTGTAATGAGCTGGATCAAAACCAATGAGCTGGATCAGTAGCAGCTAGGGATAATTTTTTATTTGGGCCTGTAGTTGCAACCCTGAGATCCCCAGGGAATATGGGGCTCTTGAAGAATCCCAGTTGTCATCTGCTTGAATGATGTTATTGATGGGACAGCTCATAGACTAACTTTGTTGAAACTTCACTGATGATAAACGGGGACCTTAAATCTCTTTTACACCACTGTATACCTTTGGTTCATTTATTAAGCTGATCTACTGTTTGAGTATGTATTAAGCAATCATTCCATGTGAAGTACTATGTTAGCTTCATATTAAGGTCTTTTAAAAAAAAAATACATTTTTTTAGATATTTTAGAGAGAGAGGAAGGGAGAGGGAAAGAGGCACAGAAACATCTATGAGAAAGAAACACCAATCAGCTGCCTTCTGCACACCCACCCGCTACTGGGGGTTAAGCCCACAACCCAGGTATGTGCCCTGACTGGAATCGAACCAGTGATCTCTCGGTACATGGGACGACGCTCAACCAACTGAGCCATACTGGCTGGGCCATATCAAGGTCTTTTATAAGCCCTTGAAAAACTTGGACTTGAATAGACTCTGTTTTTGTTAAATTTCATCATTATGCTTGGTGCTTTCACTGACTTCAGAATGAAGGATGAGGTATTAGTTTTGAGTTTTTTAAAAAAGATATTTAGGCATCTGTAGAGATCCTGCTGCCTTTGGATCTGACTCAGCCCTGGATTGTTTTCCATTTTAACCTGGACCAGGGAACTTGAACCCTTGCTAAGGCGCCCTCCTCCTCCTCCCCTCCCCCCTCCCCATTTAGAATTGTTCACTGTTGTCCAATTTAATTGCTCAATATTTATTCTATAAAACACATCAGTGCAAACTGTCTACTGGGAAAAGAGTATGAAATATTAAAGGTGAATGGGTATTCCTTTGGCAAATGTCCCTTTCAACATGTGGGTTTAGGTGGCATGAATGTTTCTTCCTTCAAAATGAAGTAGCCTCCTTCCTTCTAGCTTGTATACTGGGTATATTCCCTGATGATCCTGAGCTCTTAGAGTCACTATCAAGGGTAGGATAGGGTTATCATTAGTGCTATGCTGCATTGCCCACATCTCCTAGGATGGGAAAAGTCTTGTGTCAGCCCTTTTGTTTTGATTCCTAGTGCTGAACAGTGAAATATCTTCCTTCATCCCAGTAGCCATCCCCCTTTCCCACTCTTGTGAATTCCAACCTTTTATGAATTCTGGTACCATATGTGTCCTGTGAAATTGGATTAGTAACAGGATCTTTTTTTTTTTTTTTTAATGTTTTTTAGGAATTTCAAATAAATGAGCAAGTCCTTGCTTGCTGGTCTGATTGTCGCTTTTATCCAGCCAAAGTCACCGCTGTTAACAAGGATGGTAAGGCATTTGAGTTGTAATATTAATGACTTAGAGGGGAGTTTTATATATTAGGGTTTGATATGTTTTCAGTATGTATTTATTGGTTAGGAATCCTATCTCTTCAAGTTAATCATTGTGTCAGGAGTTAGGAAGAAATTAAAAATGGAGAGAAAGCTGGGTTAAATAGGGGAGTTTGATTCATTGCTTTCAAAATTTTAGTCATTATTTTCTAAAATAGTCATGGTTCATCTGTCACTCTGCTGGGAAGTATATAGATTCTTGCTGTCTAGGAGTTCCTAGTATAACAAAGTAAGTCCCTAATATTCCTTTTGTTTACTTGTGAATAGCCTAAAAGTGAAGTGAACGCCAAAAACATTTATTTAAAAAAAATTTTTTTTGAAAGCTCTTTAATCTTTTATTTTTCTTTTTTAAAAAAATTCTTTGTTGATAGTGTTACAAACATTTCTTAAAAATGTGCTTTGTGGATGTAAAGTAATTAAAGATGGTCTGTAATGTCAGAGTTGCTAGTTGAAATTGGGATGCTCCGACTTAGGGCACTGAGTTGAGATGCCTTTGCCGGAGTTTAGAACATCTGAGGAGTCAGGACAAGGACTATGCCCATAGAGGTTCATTTTGCTAGTACAAAGGCAAGAGGAGGGAGATAGTATGTATTGTCAGCATCCTGACATTCAGTCAACAGACTCTGGGTTCAAGTGATATATTTTTTTAGCATTTTCTATCAGGATATTTATGATTTGTCCATGATCTCTGTAATGAATATTTAGGGTGGTCAGGCCTCTTAGTACTACTGTTATGGGTGACTGTAAGGCCAAATTGACTTTTCATTCCATGAAGTTATTACTCTGCTAAATGCTGAACCTTGGGCTGATGAAGAAGTTTTTAACATGTGAATAGGGTGAAATGATAAAAAAAATGAATATTCATTTCCATGAAGCAGAATTTTTAGTTTCTATATTGCTACATTCACCCCCCCCCCCCCCCCACCCTGCCAGCTATTAGAACATTGTGGGTTAATAGATGTAGGTTTATTTATGTGTCAGATATACATTATCCTTAAAGCACAGCCCTCAGGCCTCCAAAGCAGGGTTATATCTTCTAAGTTGCACTAGCAATTACTAATCCTCTACTTTATGATAGATTAAGAATTTTTGGGTAGTTCCTTGTTTCCTTAAATTACATTTATAAGCTTGTGTTCAAAATAAAATCCCATTACTATTTTTCATATGTATCACATTAACCTAAAAACTTACTTATTTTTTCTTGTTGTTAAGCCTCCATTGATCTCTAGAGAGAGTGGAAGGTAGGGAAGGAGAGAAAGAGCTAGAGAGATAGAAACATTGATGTGAGAGAGAAACATAGATTGGTTGCCTCCCACACTGACTGGGCCCTGGGATCGAACCTTCAACCCAGGTACATGACCGGGAATCAAACTCGAGACCCTTTGATGTAACCATTGAACCACACCGGCCAGGGCCTAAAAACTTATTTTAAAAGGAAGCTGATATGTTATTAAACTGCCTCACATCCTTTTAGTAAAAGACATAGTTTATGTTTTTAGTCTCATTTTCAAGATTAATAATTTTTTCTGCTTTCACTGTATTTAAATCATGATATGAAATACAGATGTTCTTCACGTACATAGATGTGTTCTTGAAAGCCTATTATGTTGATTTATGCTGATCAAGTCGTATTTCCCCCCAGAATAATATCCATTTAAGTGTTTTCCCTTTGGGATAATTGCTGCCCCTTAGGTCAAATGAAAGTTGTGGGTAGTAACGTGGGTAACTCTGTAGGTCGGAGATTGTTAGCAGAAAGGAAGCAACATAACATATCTCTTTTGTTTCAGTGATGTCTCAGAGTCACGTGGAGGACAGAAATGGGGCGAAAAAGATTGGATGAGGGAGCGGCAAAGGAGGAGCAGATTGAGGAAGAGGCGTTGGGGAACTCTGGGAGCTGTCTCACAGAGGGGTGGGGGGTGTATTGATGGAGTCAGTTAAAGGCATTAGGAACCTACTTGCATCTAATATTTGGAGGGCTCAGAGCTTGGCATCACAGATTAAAAAAAAAAAAAGACCTAGATCAAGGCAGAATGGGGTGTTGAGATAGAGCCACCAGGAGGAGGCGCAGGGCAAGAGCAGATAGTGCAGATAAATCATAAGGGGAGTAGGGAGGGACCCCTGGCTACAGTTAATAATGTTCTTTTTTGTGGAGGTGGGTCTGAAGTCTGTTTTTTTAAGTGTTTTTATTTTTATTCAACTATAAGCAAACAGCAGAATTAATACAACATTCGGCAGGTCCAGGCTGGCTTTTGTTATAACAATGAACAGCTTAACAGGCACAGACTGGAGGATTTCTGGTAACCTGTCACCCAGCCCTGCAGCCAATCTAAATGGCTGTTGGTCAATAGGAAAGCGACTCTCCCTATTGCTTTTTCCATTACTGCTTTTTAAAGGAGCTAGAGCAGGATACTGATACCTAGTAACCAATCTGAGATGTAACATATTGGGGGTTAATGGACATGCTAACTTCTGGTGTCTGGTGAGAGACAGGGCTGTGAAAACACATCTCAGAATATGCTATTATGCACAATTCTGGGTTTTGGCTTGGTCCCCTGACTGGAGATTGAACTCTCAACCTTGGCATATCAGACGATGTCTAACCAACTGGAGCTACCTAGCCAGGGGTGAAGTCTCTTGAAATGATCACTTAAGATCTAGAAGTCATTGGCCACATTGTCAGCCGTGGTTAATTAAGGTTTTTAAATGTCTTTTAAACTGGGGCTTTACAAGTTGTTTTTTAAAATCTTTTCAGTTTATTTCCTCCATGAACTAAAATGATAGGAGAAGAGAGTCTTGAGGCAGTTGTTCCTAAACCAGTCACTTGCTGCCCTAATATATAGGTTTTATAAGCTCTGAATACTGTCCAGTAAATTTTAGTTGAAGGACATTGAAAATGAGTGGTATTTCTGCCAGAACCTGTTTTCCCTAGTTCTTGAATTTGAAGTCCTATATTATGCTGCTATCCTTACTGGTTCTTTTTTTTTTTTTTCCTCTTCCCCTTACTGGTTCTTGGGGGAAGGGAAATCCTGATTAGCGGAACCAGTTGGGTGTTATTATCGCCATACTGTAGATTGTGAGGGAAAGACTTTGTGGGAGCTCAGATTTTTTAAGATGAGATAATGACCCGTAGGTGCTGCCTTTGTGTTAGGTTTTATCTGTGGGAGCTGGTATACAGTTTCTAGTTCATCAGGATTCATTCCAGCAATTGCAGGATTGGAAGAGACAATGGTGGGCTCTATTCCCTCTTTCCCTGGTATTTTCTGCCCTGCCTCAGTTTCATCTGTAGCAGGGGCCACCACAGCTTAATGGCACTGTTAGTAGAAGCTCTTCTGGCAGGGTGCCCTTCTATTTCCTATAAAAGTCATTCTGAATTGTTGGTGTTGCCAGGCGGAGGCCAAGGATATAGTGAAGTCAAATGCTATAGATTCATCTTTGGTAGGCTTGGTCTGGTTTTCTTGCCACTGTTAACCTCTCTGGTGGTTTTGCTGAGGCTATTTATTGACTGAGCAGGCTGGTGGGCCGGCTCTAGCCAGAGTGGAGAGCAACAGCTTCTGGCATGGGGAATCTGACATTGAATTACCAATAACTAGCAACTTTAGAGTTTCTTGAGGGAGTTATAGTTATTTAGCCCTTGGAAACTGGGGAGGGCATTGCCGTATTATTTAGTTATTTCATCTGGAATTGTTCTTTGGCAATGGTAATTAAGCATCATTTAGTGTGAAGGCAGCCACACCTGGTAGCCTTGTAGACCCTGGGTCTGTGTTGTGGTAAAAGACAGGATTCTGGTTCCAGGGACTCTTTGTTTGGAAGCCATCTCTGGTGAGTTGATCTCAGCTCTTTGCTGTGGCTGCCCAGCTCCCCTTTTTCATGCTGGGGATGGCAGAACCACTTGTCTGTCAGGGCTTTATGCTCCCAGTCTTGGGGGAAACTGAAAGTAGGTTCACATTTACAACAAAATGAGGAATTGTTTCTTCCTGTTGATCTGTGGTTCTCTAACTTGAGTGAGCAGGCTAATCAGGTTCCTCTTCCTTAAAGTTAAATACGTATCCATAGGTTATGTTCCTGCCTTACCCTCCCTCCTAGTCAATCTCTTTGGTCCTATGTCTGAAATCTGTATTTATAACAGGAGATCCTGTGGAAACGGTCTTATTTCGAGAGTCTTGTTGAAACTGTTACTATTTTTTGTTTTCTTTATGCTGTAACTGACCGTACATTTGAAATGCAGGGATGTTGGGACTATGTGAACAGCTTTCCACAGAGATAAAAGGAAGGTTTAGACCTACATATGCAAGTGCTAGCTTGGCTTTTATCTTCTATGATGGGAAGGGGTTGGTGCTTTTATTTTTATTAATTCTCATCCAAGGATATTTTTTCCATTGATTTTAGAGAGAGAGTGAAAGGGAGAGATTGGGGTGGGGGGAATGGAGGGTGGGGTGGAATAAAAGAGAAACATTGATGTGAGAGAGGCACATTGATTGGTTGCCTCCCATACATGCCCCAAGCAGAGCTAGGGTTGAGCCTGCAACCAAGGTACATGCCCTTGACTGGAATCGGACCCAGGACTCTTCAGTCCCTGTGCCACGCTCTATCCACTAAGCCAAACCAGCTAGGGCTCCTATACCAATACACACAAGGCTGGGCCTCAGATTCTTAATTGTTTTACTGCTCTTTGTTCTTGGTCTAAATTTAATGCAACTTTTTTTTATTTTAATGAAGCATCATAAAAGTGAATTGTTTTTGATAGATTTTTATCTGTATAGATGAAAAGAAAGGCATACTATTATCTTAGACATAGGTAAGGCATTCTTAAAGAAATTTTTAATTTCCATAAGTTTATTATAGTATTGTAGTTGGAGCTCCCTTGTATTTATGCTTTGAAAAGTTGTGTCACTTTCATGAAACTGCAAGTTAAAATCATGATATCTTCTTGAATTCTAGGTACTTACACTGTGAAATTTTATGATGGAGTAGTTCAGACTGTCAAACATATTCATGTCAAAGCTTTTTCCAAAGATCAGGTGAGATACGTGGTTTTGTGCTTTGTGGTATGAATAATACTAACATTATAGTTTTGTTTCTCAAATAAAGACATTACCTTTGTTTATGATGGCAAAGTTTTTATTTCCTCCATCTGACACAATTTCACCAGGAAGCAATGTGCACATTTTCAGAAATTGTAAATATTAGTCTCTTTCTGCCATTTTCTTTTAACATAGATTCTTTTTTTCAAAAGTGCCAAGTACTTGGATACCATTACCTGTTATCTGTTTTCCTTATCTTTTCATTAAAGTGTCTAGTTATTATTTGTTATTTTCTCTTCATGTGTCCTGCCCCCGTCACAGGAAACTTCCTGTACTGCTTGAGGAGATCTAGAGTTTGTTTTCTCCTTGTCTAACTTTAAGTTCAGGACCATGACATGGTGGTTACAGAGCTACAGTTTGGCATGGATTTGGCAGTCACCTATGCTAGATGTGCCTGCATTGAAAATTTTATTTCCTGTCCCAGGCATGTATTTGCCTGAGCATAGGACCTGCTTTTGATGTTGGAAATACGGTGTGCACAGATATGGGCCATCTAGAAGTGTTGCCTAATTTCTTCATAATTTTTTTCCCTTTTGTCTTTTTTATGTTTTCATGAAGTAGCTGAGGGGAAAGAGATCAAAAGTTGGATATTGATGTTTTAAAAAACTGATTATTACTGTTACTCACCTGTTTGGTGGTTGTTGATGTGACAATATTTTGTGATGCTGGAACCTGTTGTATTTTTTTCTTATGATGATCAAATGCTTCTCATCACAAATTTTTGTAAATTCTTTTGTACATATATTTAGCAATTTCAAAGGATCATGATATATGATGTGTTTAAAGGTAACCTAACAACGTTTTGCCTTTTGATGATTTTCTGCTTCAGAAAATTGACAAAATTATAAGGCTTTACCCCTGAAGATGTTTTCTCTTTGATAACTTGCCCCGTAGAGCTACACAGCATTCTAAAAACATTATCTTGGTGTTCTTTGACAGTTTTTGTGTGCAGTTCATGGAATGAGTTAATATAGATAGAGGACCATATTAAGAACTTGCCCAGAATTGTCAGATTGTGTCCAGAACCTCCCCAAATGGAAATTCAGTGCTCCAGAAAACAAGCGTTCAGCTGTTTATTCTGCTCTACTCAATAAACTAATTGATAGGCTCTTGATGCTTTGGCTTGGAGTTGGGCACCTTACCCAGTGTGAATTTATGGGTGCTTCAGTTTTCAATTTCCAGATGCCTCTGAGTGTCTCACCTTATCTCAGACTTGGCGGGTGGTCAAGCACAGGCCTGTGGCACCTATTTACTTGTGTTTTTCCCCCAAGAGTACATATAATTTGGATAAATGACTTCTTAGCTCTTTTTGATCCTATTAATCTAAGGTTCTGTAATGGCCATTTATAAAACAAAAGTTCTTTTAAAAAATCTATTTTTAAAGCTTTTTTCATATATATTAGAACAGATTGAGATTTCTTTTGTAGGACCACACTGTCTCAAAGTTTTGATAAGCTATATTTTAGGAACATTTATGTATTTTTTGAAGTTTAAAAAAAGTTTGCTATATAAAGTTAAGAAAGTACAGAAAAGCACAAAGAAAGTAAAAACTGTAAGTCTATCATCTAGATATAATTACTGTTAACTATTAACATTTTGATGTATATCCTGTGTTTTTTGTTAAATATTTATGTGTATACATATTTCTTTTCAAAATTGGAGTCATATAGTATATTACTGTACTATAACTTGCTCTTTTCTTTTAATAAAATAACATTTCCCAAGTTTCTTTTAAAAAAAGTTAATATATTATTATTGATATCAGAGAGGAGAGAGAGATAGAAACATAAATGATGAGAGAGAATCACTGATTGTCTGCCTCCTGTATACCCCCTACTGGGGATCGAGCCTGCAGCCTGGGCATATGCCCAGACAGTAACCTCCTGGTTCATGGGTCGATGCTCAACCACTGAGCCACACTGGCCGGGCTTCCCAAGTTTCTTAATTCTGTATGTGAATACGGCTTTTAATGGCTATAACATAGTATTTTATAAGATGTGTATATCCTTCCTTATGTAACCAATTCCCTAATGGTCATGTTAGGATATTTGTGAATCTGGATGCACAAGTCTAATTATTCTGTTAGCAAATTTTATTTTTAGGAATTCATTCTAGTTCAAAAGTATAAACCTAAGTCTTTTGACCTGAATTGCCTGCCGCCCACCCGAGCCCTCACCCACCACCCCCCAAGCTGGGTACACCAATTTATATTTCTGCCAGCAGTTATTGAGGGATGCTTGTTCTCAAACCTGGCTGCTTTCAGAAAATTTTGTGGACTTGAAAAAATATTTCCTTCTAAGTTCTAACCTCAGGGATTCTCCTTGTTTATTATTGTTCCCTATGGGACAAATTAAACTTTTACTCATTGAGTATTTTAGGCACTCCTCCTGCTTCTGACAAAGGTCTGTGTACTTAGTGGGTGCTTAGATGCTGGGGATCTCATATGAATATGATATGGTAGAGATTGAGGTCTTGGAAGAGAGATACATATACAAATAAACAATTATAGTTTTGGAAACTTCAGAGCTGGCTTTATTATGAGACATTCATATTAAATTAACGGTGAATTTTAAAGAAAGTAATTTAGGAGGAAAGTAACTTTCTCCTGATAGATAAAAACTCAGTAACTAACTCAGGAATACAGAAGGTGGCTTGTTGGACTGAGCATAGCCTTTACCCAGTAGAGGAAGCAAAGACTCTGTTTCTGGGTTGGAAAATCTTTACAACTTTCCTTTCTGCCTCTAGTTATCAGTATGGGTTCTACTCTACACAGGGAATCAGCATCCACTGGCACACTAAGCCGGGCCTCTGAGAGGCCCTGGGTCAGTGTAGTCATGCTTGGGATGAGGCATTTTCTTAGAAAGATTGCTTTCCACCAGAGGTCCCTGCGGTAGTTATCTGTCCCTTTATTTTCTAGTGCCTTACTAATCTTAAGGGAACTGAAGACCATTGTTTTCTTTAAACTTAGGGTTGGTTCTCAAGCCTCAGATTATGGTTAGATATTTTTTGTGGTAACCATTATGTGACTTGGCATTATGTCCTTTTAATTTCTGTGTTTATCTTCATAAGTTTGCAAAGAACTATCTGGTTTTATATTTGCTCGTAATCACAAAGTGTGTTTCATCGCTATTTTGCTCATTTTAGAATATTGTGGGTAACGCTAGGCCTAAAGAAACAGATCACAAAAGTCTTTCATCATCTGATAAACGAGAGAAGTTTAAAGAGCAGAGAAAAGTCACAGTCAGCCTGAAGAAAGACAAAGAAGACAAAGCCTTAAAGACAGAAAAGCGAACCAAGCATCCTGATAAAGAAGGAAAATTAATCTGTTCTGAAAAGGGAAAGGTGTCAGAGAAAAACCTTCCCAAGAACGAGAAGGAAGATAAGGAGAACATTTCAGAAAATGACAGAGAGTACTCTGGAGATGCTCAAGTGGATAAGAAACCTGAAAATGACATTGTGAAGAGTCCACAAGAAAACTTGAGGGAGCCAAAAAGAAAACGAGGCAGACCCCCTTCCATAGCTCCTACTGGTGAGTTTCCCAAGTGGGCTCTGCAAGGACAATGCCAGTGTTTTTCTGTGGCCCTATGTGGTTCTTTATCACTTCTATACATCAATCCTTCATTTTTGTGGCTGACTTTGAATTGTTCTATGATCTGAAAACAAGTCATGTCCCTGAAGCTGGATTTTAAGGGAGAAATGTATCTAGATGAACGTAAGTTGGGAAACATGGCAGAGCTTGAGCTTCTGAGGGGTATATAATTGCCCTCTAGATACTTCAGCCTATATGATAAAACCTAATAAGCTAAGGCTTTTTACTAGTGCCTATTTAAATGATCTCAGTTTAAGTGAGCTTAATAGAACCTGGGATCAGGAAATACAGTTTTTATGAGAGACAAGAAAGAGGAAAGGAGAAGTAAAATAGGTGTGGGCATCTGAAGGAAATTTACTGAAGGAAATGGTGCCAAAGACCTAGAAATGCATGGGTGCAGTTGAAATTGAGTTCTCTGGAGAGTGATTATTGATTGAAAAATTTCACAGTCTAAATAAAAAGCTGAGATGGCTAATTGGTAAGAGTCAAGGTTAAAGGATACAGACTTAGAAAAGAATGTGCAGTTGTTAAATGAAGTTGAAATTTGGAATTTTTCTAGAATAACCCAGAATGAAACACACCCTGAATTTCTTCCTAAGTCAAACACTTCCCTAGATCGAGTCAATGGCATGAAGAGTTCCCAAAAGATCTCTAAACTGAATGCCTATGATTATCTGGCAGTGGTCTTCAGATATTCTGGCTTGCATATTCTCTACATGAATATTGGAAAATTATGAATCCCCTAGGACAGTGGTCGGCAAACTGGCTTGTGAGCCACATGCGGCTCTTTGGCCCCTTGAGTGTGGCTCTTCCACAAAATACCACGTGCGGGCTCGCACGTACAGTGCAGTTGAAACTTTGTGGCCCATGTGCAGAAGTCGGTATTTTGTGGAAGAGCCACACTCAAGGGGCCAAAGAGCCACATGTGGCTCGCGAGCTGCAGTTTGCCAACCACTGCCCTAGGACATTTGAAAGTGATACCTACTTTTTCTCACAAGTTTGAAAGTTGCAAAAGATATATAAATGTTATTTTCATCAAAATTGTGGAACTACAGAATTAGTTCTCTCATTGTTTCCAAAGCTAGTTCTGTCAATCCAGACAGTTACATCAGACTTAATTTCTGTGGCAAAAAGTCTACCTTAATTTACTTAAAATAAATGCATTAGTCATCATTCCCAGTAGACCTTCTCACATCTGAGTTCTAATTTTAAGATAGAGAATTAGGTGGATTGATTTCTTCCCAGATGAAATAAGGCACATTTTCCTTTAGTGGTTGTAACTGGGTTTTGTCTTCAAAAGCTGAGCATGCTGGAATTGTCTCTAGACAAATCTAGGGCCTAGACCTGCGCTGTCCAGTATGATAGCTGCTAGCCCGTGTGGCTAGTGAGCACTTGAAATGTAGCTAGTCTGAATTGAAATGTGCTGTAACTGGATTTCAAAAACTTAGTACAAGAAATCCCACAAGAATGTAAAATATCTCAATTTTTTATATTGGTTACATGTTGAAATAATTTTGGATGTATTGGGTTAAATAAAATATATTCTTGAAATCATTTTCACTTTTTTCTTTAACTTCTTAATGTAACGACTAAAATTTTTAAATTTACATACATGGCTTGCATTTTGTGGCTCTCATTATATTTCTGTTGGACAGCACCGGCCTAAATTCACTGGCTTTCTCAACAGCGTTCTGGGAGAGAATTAAACTCTAATACCCAAGGTATCCATGATCTGTAATGAATTGACTTATCTCCTGTGCATTTCAAATGGTACTAGTTATAAACTACCCTTGGGAGAATTGAAAAAAATAACCTGTGTATTTGGTGTTCAAATGAGGAATCCTAGTTGAGAAAGTAGAGGTTTTAAACCTGGACAGTGTGTCATGTAGAATGAGTGAGAGACAGGCCTTTTTATGTAAATGGGAGAAGTGGAAAAGGTGAACTGGCAGAAATCAATTGTCTCCCTTCTCAATTTAGGAAAGAGTATGTAAACATGGGAACTGAGTGTTGTGAAACTGATTCTTCTTTAGCTATTCGTGCTCTGGCTTGTACTCTCTGGAAAGTGTCTATTGGGGTAATTGCTCTTCAGCTTGCAGACTTCTCTCAGATAAAAAAAATGCCATCCAATTTATTGCTTTTATTTTGTAAGTGTAGGATTTCATACCAGATAGAATCAATTTGGTATTTTCCAAGCTTACTGTTAACACTTGCCTTCCTTCCTAGTCAGAATCTCTGGAGCAGGGTTTGGGAATGTGAATTGTTAAACAACCTTCCCAGATGATTCTTACTGTAAGAAAGTTTGGGAAACACTGAAGTTCAATGTAGTCAGCCCCAGTTTGTATATGGTATCAAAGTGAAGAATACTTGCCATATAGCTTATAATATAGTTCATGTCCCCTTTAAAAATTGCTTGGAATAAGTTTATTGACTCAGTGGAGCCTTGAGCTCTCTATATTATAGACTTGATTGGGACAGGATCTGAGCTATTTAAGGAGAGTTGTTTGTGTTTAATCTGGAATGTGTGTGACCTCCAAGTTCCCACCACTTGGAACAAAATAACGTTGGTACATTGGGAAAGTTGAACACAGGAAGAGCCAAGGAGTTCAGCACTCTCTTCTTGTATGCTTCCTCAGAGCTCAGCCTTGTCTCTTGTTTGGCCATTTGAGATGGCACATCTGAAGCTAGATGAGTCTTCTCTCCCCTCCCTCTACCCTTCTTTCCTTTCCTCTTCGCTTCTAATTTCTTTCCTTTCCTCCTTCCTTTTTATCCTTCTCTTTCCTTTTAACTTTCATCAGTCCCCTTAGCCCTGCCTTCTCTCCAACACTTCCCAATTTCTTACCTTTTGTTTTTTTTTCTACTTACCTTTTTGGAATCTTATCTTTCCTGATTGGGGAAGAGCTTCTTAAGTATTAGATTTAAAAATAAAGAAAGAGTACTCTCCGAGGCTTTAGTGTTTGCACTGCTAAATCATGTCAGAGCTGGATTTGCTAGTGATCAGCAGTCTGGCCTGGAACTTTGACTGTCAAATAGAATAGCCTCCTGAGATTTTTCTGGAATTGTTTTTAGGGTTATAAATTTTGACATTCTTTTTAGTCTCTCAAAACTAGGATCAATGCCAAGCTAACTAATTTAGCAAGTAGAGATTGAAAACAATCAAGCTGTACTTCCAGGGTTCACATTTTGTGAATCAGCCTGCATGGTAGATTTTCAGAATATTGGATAAGTCAAGTTTTGATGAAAAGATTTGATGCTGTGCCCTGGCTGGGTAGCTCAGTTGGTTAGAGCATCTTCCTGATACACCAAGGTTGTGGGTTCGATCCCTGGTCAGGACACGTACAAGAATCAACCAATGAATGCATGAATAAGTGGAACAACAAATTGGTGTTTCTTTCTCTCTCCTTCTTCCTCTCTCACTCTAAGAATCAGTAAATAAAAAATAAAAAAGACTTGATGTAATAAAAATGACTTTAATATTGCTCTTGCACTTTCATATTTTAAAGCAGTCATATTGGGATATAGTGTTTTAAAGAGAGGGTTTCAGGAGAGAAGTATATGACTAGAGCTGGGTCATGAATGTCCCAGCACCTTCCAAGGAAATAATTTCTCACCCATTTCAACCCTCCACCACCCATCTTTAGCTTAAGTAAGAATGCTCCTTGGTCTGTTTGTCATGCAAGGATGTGTGTGTGTGTGTGTGTGTGTGTGTGTGTGTGTGTGTGTGTGATATTTATATCTAACAATGAGGATTGGAGCACTCAATCCTCATTGTAATTACATTCCTTGTTTGTGTGGTTTTATTTACATTGTAGCTGTGGATTCAAACTCTCAAACTTTGCAACCAATAACATTGGAATTGAGAAGACGAAAAATATCAAAAGGAAGTGAAGTTCCATTAAAACGTCCTCGGCTTGACAAAAATTCATGTGAGTCTTCAGTCTGTGTATGTGTGCTTAGTAGAACTTGGCTTCAGTTGGGTTAGCCTCCTCTGTATCCATGTTTCCCCTATGCCCTATAGGCTCAAAGATGTGTCCTTGATTGTAGGATCTAATGTGAGTGGGATGTGGTTGGATCAAAAGGAGTTTTGCTAGAAGAAAAATAAATCTCAAAGCATGAACTCCATTAATGTTGGGTTCAGTGGTGTCATTTCCATACCCATAAACTACATTTGATTTGAATTCCACTGGAAATTTAATGACTTAGGAAGGGATGGATTTCATATGCTGAGTGAAACTTTAAAAATACTATTTATTGATAAAAAAATCCTGTTGGCTCCAAAAATGATTTGTGATGGCTCTAAGGCTCTATAAACCTTATTGACTTTGAAAGTCAGTACATAGACTTTTATGGTAGAAAGCTCCAACATAGAACTTAGTTGTTAAGATTGGAACATGACATTAAGATTGGGACATAATGTTGGCACATATTTGTAGACTATGAATCCTTAAATAAAGGAAGTTCTATCCTGGCAGCGTGACCGTGCCTTTACTTATAGCCATTAAACCAGGAAGAATATTTCCTTTAATCACTGGTCTAATATTCCAGAAGTCTCTGTAAAGCCCTTATGGAGGACAGCCAGCTTAGAAATCTGTAGTAGCAGAGTTGTTTCTTCTGGTCTCTTGACTATAACTCTCTTTAATGGTTTATAGCCCAGGAAAAGTCAAAAAACTACCCAGAAAACACTGACAAAGACTTATCAAGGAGACGGTCCTCCAGGCTGTCCACAAATGGGACCCATGAGATCTTAGATCCTGACTTGGTTGTATCAGATATGGTTGATACAGTTAATACTGATTCTTTGCAAAATACATCATCCAGTTCCAAGGAGTCTGAAGAAGGTAAGTCAAATTCTGCTAAGGAATTGTATTCCCAACCTGATGCTTGTCCGGTGTGAACCAATCTAAATCTTTGGTACTACCTTCCACAAGTTTTAGATGGTCTTGAAATCAAGTTATTGAATGGGCTGCAATGTTTTTTATTGTTCGTCACTGATAACTTTTTGAGATTGGTTTTCCTTATATACATCTGAATATTGGGTTGGATATACAATGTTTTTAGTATATGTGCTGCCGAAGCGAGCACTGGGTTGGATATACAATGTTTGAAGAGCCCTGCCCTCCTCTCTCTGTCTTTCTGATGCCATCTCATTCCAGTGCCTGTGCTTTGTTAGTTAATGCTTCTGACAAGTCCTCCCTTCACTGTAGCTTCTTCTTAGCCTTTTTGAGATGCTCCAGCCCTGGCTATATGTGCTAGAGCCTGTGAATCCATTCTTTTATGCTATGAGATGAATGGCTTCCTGTAAAAAGTTCCTGGCTTTCTTAGTCTGTTGAAGTACTTTTGGTACCCAGATTATATACATGTATATGCTTCCCATATACTTTTTTTTCCTTCCAGGTCAGTTGAAATCTCCTTTGGAAGCTGGCCAGATCTCATCTGCACTAACTTGCCACTCCCTGGGGGATGGATTGGGGGTTACAGACTTGGAGTTGAACTGCAAGGCAATGGGAGAAAACACTATGAAAACAGAACCGGCTTCTCTCCTTGCTGAGTTTCAAGAGATTTCTACTGTGGCAGGTTCATATTCAGAGTTAACATAATTCCCTCCTAATATATACTTTTGATTGTGAAGTATAATTAATGGGTTTTTCTAACCTTTTATTTATATTCCCTTATTTTAATGTTATATCTTTTTATTTCTCATATTGCTAATTTGTGTTTTCTCTTTTCTTGATTAGTATGATTAGGGGTTATCAGTTTTGTTTGATAGTTTCAAAGAACCAACCTGTTTTTCTCTATTTGTCTTTTTAAGGTGTTATTGATTTCTGTTTTGACCTTAATTGTTTTCAGAGTTATACATTTTCCACTAAGCACTGCTTTGGCTGCATCCTACACATTTTGTTATGTTCTATTTTCATTTTCATTCAATTCAAATATCTTGTGACTTATTTGTTTTCCCTGGGTTATTAGGGCATGTGTTTCATTTCTAAGTAATGGGGTTTTTAAAGAAACTTGCTGTTACTGATTTCTAATGTAATTACATTGTGGTCAGAGAATGTACTCTGTCAATTTTGCTTCATGTATTTTGAAGTTCTGTTACTAGGTGCATACACATTAATAATTGTTATGTCCTCCTGATTAATTGCCCCCAGTGTAATATGAAATATCACTTTGTTTTTGATAATAGCATTTGACTTGAAGTTTGATATTAGTGCAGAGGTACTTACTGTATGCCTGGTATATTGAACACTTTCTGTTAACATAAGTGTGTTTTTAAATTCAAAGTGTGTCTTTTATAGTTAGAATATAGTCAAGTTTTGCTTTTAACTGCAATGTTTAGTCTATTTACATTAAGTATAATTTTTAAAAAAATATATATTTTATTGATTTTTTACAGAGAGGAAGGGAGAGGGATAGAGAGTTAGGAACATTGATGAAAGAGAAGCATTGATCAGCTGCCTCCTGCACACACCCTACTGGGGATGTGCCTGCAACCAAGGTACATGCCCTTGACCAGAATTGAAACTGGGACCCTTCAGTCTCCAGGCCGATGCTCTATACACTGAGCCAAACCAGCTAGGGCTAAGTATAATTATTGATATGGTTGTTTTTAGTTCTACTATTGGCTTTTTATTTTCTGTTTATCCTCTCTGTTTTGTTCTTTTCTGTTTGTTTGTTTTTTTAGGTTAATTGAATATTTTTTCAGAATTCCATTGTAATTTATCTATTAGCTTTCACTTCTTAGCATTTGTTTTAGAAGGTACTCTAGGGATTATGACATATATCCTTAACTTTTCACAATTTAATTTTGAATCACTTTATGTAAAATGTTATATAGTTCCATTTACCCCCCTTTATGCTGTACTTGTCATATGAATTTTACCTACACATACTACAAAATTCACAGTATAATTTTTGCTGTAAGCAATTATATATTTTAAAGAAGACAAACGAGATAGTCTTATTTATGTACATGGTTATTATTTTTAGTGTCTTTCTTTCTTCCTAAAGATTTCTTTCAGCCTGAAAAATTTCCTTTAGTTTTTCTTGTAATACAGGTTTCCTGTTGACAGATTGTGTTGATTTTTGTTTATCTGAACATGACTTGATTTAACTTTCATTCTTGAAGGATATTTTCACTGGATATAAGATTGTGGGTTTACAGGTTTTTTTTGAAGTACTTTAAAGATGTTATTCATTGTCCTCTGGCCTCTATTATTTCTGACGGGCAGTTAGTGATAATTTATATCAATGTTTCCTTGTTTGTAATGAGTTGTTTCCTTTTTAGCTACTTTCAAGATTTTTCTCTTTATCTTTGTTTTTCAGCAGTTTGACTTGTTTAGGTTTGTTTTATTTTTGTACTTAACCTGCTTGACTTTCATTTGAGCCTGATCATCAAATTTGAGCCATTATTTTTATGAATATTTTTTTTCTGTTATTCTCTCTGTCTTCTACCTTGTGAATTTACATTAGACTTTTGTAAATATGCTATGTTAGACCTGGTTAACGTAGCAGAATAGCTCTTTAAAAATAGTGTACTCAGGTATTTACTACTGGATCATCCATGGTTCTATAGGTTGGTCTTTTGTTCCACTGAGTCAGAGTGTTGTGCCTTAGTCTCATGGATGCAAGTGATCTTGCTTTTCTTGTTGAGTCTCCTCTCTGTGGCAGAGATCCTCTCCTCCCAGCCTTCTTTTCTGTCATGTGGGGGAAATGACTAGAATTAATGTACAAATGAGGAGGAAATTTAATCTCAGAGCTCAGTTGTCTGCTTTGGTATGGAGAGCTCTAGATGAGTGGTCACCAACCTTTTGGACCTCACGGACCACCGCAGACTAATGGTTGGCGACCACTGCTCTAGATGACAGCTATATATCCCTTATAACTCAGCAGACTAAGCTCTTAATTACGTTGCTTTAAAGGTGGAAATTGACAATGAATTATTTCTATACCACTAGAAAATAGGCTGTGTAGATGAGAGGAGTGAGGAGATTAGTTTAGAGGCTAAATCCAGTGCCTGTTTTTTTCTTGTTGTTAATCCTCACTCGAGGATATTTTTTCATTGATTTTTTTTCTTTCTTTCTTTCTTTTTTTTTTTTTTAAGAGAAAGTGGAGGGTTGGAGGAATGGGGAGAGAGAGAAACATTGATGTGAGAGAGACACATTGATTGGTTGCCTCCCACATATTTCCTGACCGGGGCCAGGGGTTGAACCTGCAGCCCAGTATGTGCCCTGGGCCTGGAATCGAACCCGATATACTTTTGTGCTTGGTCCGACACTCCAACCACTGAGCAACACTGGCCAGGGCCCAGAGCTTTTTTGAAGTTTACATATTTTTTTAAATATATTTTTTATTGATTAAGATATTACATATGTGTCCTTATCCCCACGTTACCCCCTACCCCCCCTCCCCCGCTTGTGCCCTCACCCCCCCCTGTTGTCCGTGTCCATTGGTTAGGCCTATATGCTTGCATATAAGTCCTTTGGTTGATCTTTCCCCCTTACCCCCACCCTCCCCTACCTTCCCTCCAAGGCCCGACAGTCCAATCAATGCCTCTCCGTCTCTGGATCAGTCCTTGTTCATCAGTTTATGTTGTTCATTATATTCCACAAATGAGTGAGATCATGTGGTATTTATCCGCTCTCCAGTTCCATCCATGCTGTGGCAAATGGTAAGAGTTCCTTTTTCTTCTTCCTCTTCTTAAAGAATACCTTTCAGCATTTCATATAATGCTGGTTTGGTGGTGATGAACTCCTTTAGCTTTTTCTTATCTGTGAAGCACTTTATCTGACCTTCAATTCTGAATGATAGCTTTGCTGGGTAAAGTAATCTTGGTTGTAGGTTCTTGCTATTCATCACTTTGAATATTTCTTGCCATTCTCTTCTGGCCTGCATGGTTTCTGTTGGGAAATCAGCTGACAGTCGTATGGGTACTCCCTTGTAGGTAACTGACTGTCTTTCTCTTGCTGCTTTTAAGATTCTCTCTTTGTCTTTTGCTCTTGGCATTTTAATGATGATGTGTCTTGGTGTGGTCCTCTTTGGATTCCTTTTGTTTGGGGTTCTCTGCGCTTCCTGGAGTTGTAAGTCTATTTTTTTCACCAGGTAGGGGAAGTTTTCTGTCATTATTTCTTCAAATGGGTTTTCAATATCTTGCCCTCTCTCTTCTTCTGGTACCCCTATAATTCTGATGTTGGTATGCTTGAAGCTGTCCCAGAGGCTTCTCACACTATCTTCATATTTTTGGAATCTTTTTTCTTTTTCGGTTGGGTATTTTTTGTTTCTTTGTATTTCAAATCTTTGACTTGATTCTTGGGATCCTCTTGTCTGCTGTTGGATCTCTGTATATTATTCTTTATTTCAGTCAGTGTATGCTTAATTTCTCGTTGGTCTTTTTTCATATCCTCTAGGGTCTCACTAAATTTATCGGCGGTTTCCATAAAATTCTTGAAAAACCTTATAAACGTGGTTTTGAACTCTATATCCAGTCGTTTGCTTTCCTCCATTTCTGTCATTTGTGACCTGTTTCTTTGTCTCCGCATTTTGGCTGCTTCCCTGTGTTGGTAGAGTGGCTTTGTGTGCTAGGTGTCCTGTAGGGCCCAGTAGCTCAGCCTCCCCAGTTACCTGAGGTGGACACTCTTGGTGCACCCCCTTGTGGGCTTTGTGCACAGTCTTGTTGTAGTTATGCCTTGATTGTTGTAGGATCACTGGGAGGAATTGACCTCCAGGCCAATTGGCAGTGAGAATCAGCTGTGTCTACGGTGGGAGAACTTCTGTGCTGAATACACCCTTCTGGAGCAAGACTTGCTTCAGTGGGGCTTTGGTGCTCACTGAGTCTGCCCCCTGAGTGTGTCCCTTATGGATCTGAGGAGTTGTAATCCGGGTGGTCCCCCTCTGACAACTGGGTACACTCGCTCTTGCATCTAAGGAGGTGCTAATTTAGCCTCAGCCTGAGGTTACCCGGCAGGAGCTACGAAGAGAACTGCAGATTTCTCTTCCTTTTTTTGGAGTTTGGAGGTGCCGTGATGAGGCCCAGCTGTGAAGCAATGCTAGCTGCTGTGGGGCCTTGGGCCTTCTCTTGGAAGTTCTGGGTCTGTCTGGCCCAGCTGCAATTTTTTTTTTTTTTTTTTAAATATATTTTATTGATTTTTCACAGAGAGGAAGGGAGAGAGATAGAAAGTTAGAAACATCGATGAGAGAGAAACATCGATCAGCTGCCTCCTGCACACTCCCTACTGGGGATGTGCCCGCAACCCAGGTACATGCCCTTGACTGGAATCGAACCTGGGACCTTTCAGTCCGCAGGCCGACGCTCTATCCACTGAGCCAAACCGGTTTCGGCCCAGCTGCAATTTTTTAGGTAATTTCAGGTTGCAAAGGGCCGGGGCATTCATATGCAAAAGCCTCTGCCACAGCCTGGGTGGGGCGGGGTCTCAGGGAATCAAAGGGCGGAGCAAGCAGCTATGGCAGATCCTCAGCCCTGCCCTAAGGGGCCGCGCGTCTTAGTGTCCCGGTAATTGCTGCAAGCACCTCTGAGGGAAAGCTGCCCTCAAGCTCCGAGTTCTGCCTGCTACCAGACA